GGCCGAAACTTTTCAAGCCAGAATACTACAATTCTAGTAAAATGCATAATACGTACTAGAATAAATATGTAGTTTGTGCAGTGGGATTTCCCCCCCCCGCTTTAAAATGTTTTTCTTGTCCCGTAAATAATACCGATAGGTTTCCGCTTGGGCATGCTCACGGCAGGACTCAGATAGCGAGAGCTCCATAACAGAGATTATTCCATGTTGGCATACACTCTCGGTAGGTAGGAATTTCCTGCAGGTATCTGACCACAATTATGTCCACATTCGGTAGACAATCCAAGCACAGAATTGGTGGAATTTCGAGGGATTGCATTTGAAGATCCAAGGGTGCGTAGTGGGAAACCAGTCAAGGTGGTTCTGGCTTGCTTTGGACTGCAGACGGTTTTTGAGTTGCCCGCCCTATACTGTGCAGTTGAATTTGTTATAGGGCTTTGAGACCACCCCAAGTACTGGGAGTTTTGATTGGACCGAGTTAGGTCTGATACTGGTTTTGATAATGGAGGAAGTTGTTGAGTTTGAAGATTAAACCTGCCCTTAGATAACAAGCCCCACAGTTCTAATGTCCTCTGGGGGATGGAACACTGGTCGATCAGTTAACTCTGCTGAGTTGATGAGTGTGACGCACAAACCTCACACCCTGTGCTGTCTTCCGTTCGGAGTGTTAAAGGTGCGGAATGAAGGCCCAGAAAAACAGCAAGATGGGGTGTGCCAAGGATTTTTGGAAAATTGAGTGTCGGGACACAGACAGAACTGAAATCCCCCGTGTTGGCCCGATGAAGTAAGTCGGTTGCTTTCGCGCGTTGCGGAATGCGTGCGCGGGCACGGCGCGAAAAGAGAAAAATCCAAATTCAATCCAAAAAGTATTGTCGAGCTTCCCACCGCTCTACGGATCTTCGTTTAGAGCGGAAGGGCTTCGGCACACTCCACGTATCTCGTTTCCGTATTAAGTCCCGTCGTCGCTCGTGGGTCAGTTCCGAGTCCGACGTGGATGGTCTCAGCCACGTGGCTCTTTCTTTGCGCTCGTCTTCACTCCGTACCCGGTAGTGGAAGCCCTTCGATTCGTAACGATCGAAACGCTGACACTTAGTGCACAGGGTTCGAGGCCAGTGGGGCGCCACTGCCATCCACTGAATGACGATCAGCTCGTTAAATGGTAACAATACAAAGTAGGGAGGAAAGTGCGTATCGATAATGACAAAACCCGCATCCACGAACCCGGAACAATGATTTTCAGGAGGGAAGTAGTACTGCCCGCCGATGCGTGCGACAGCTTCCCGAACGTCCCACTCGCATACACGTGTCCTCTCCTCGTTGTAGGGGGAAGGGGCGTGTCGGCGAGGAGACGCGGAAGGTTGGCGCCCGATCGAGGGACAACCGTTAGTCCACATGTCAAACAATCAGACGGAGTTTACGCAAATCCTCGAGACGTCATAAAAAAAAGGCACAAAAAGAACTAATTAATACCTTCCTACCTTTGGTTACGAGAGAAGCAGCTTACAAAACCCTCACAATCATGCATTGATCGGGTTGAAGTTTCGAGGGATCAACCCGCGACTCTGTGTCAGCGGACTCGATCAACAAAAAAAACACGAGGCGCCTAGCTTTTTCGAGGCTGCCTCACCGACTACCCCTTGATGTCGTACGGCATAAGGCAGATGACATGCGCAGCGCATTGAACTACATTCCGAACCACAGATCTAAACACTCTTGCATTCTCAAACAAAATTCCGTCCAGTGCTGAGTCTAATCAATGCAGAAAGACAAGCATCTCTATGCATACATCCACTGTGGAAGGTGCGAAAATGACAAGGGTGCACAAGTTAGAAATCCACCGAGGGATTGTACACACGCATCCACCGTTCACAAGACAAGAGGATTAAGTTCTCGACATCTGGGGATTACCTAGGAAACTAATGGAAGAGTTCCGGAAGAAGTTCTTCCTCGTGAGAGCTCTCAAGAGTTCGCTTCGGTTCACAAGAGAGACGAACCCACAACATATCGTCATTCAAGTCAGAAAGAGAAAGAGAGAGATTGGTGGGAGAGATAGGCGAGAAAGGCCGAGGCAGAAGACACCAGAGTCCGATAAAAGAGCATTCGTCTTCACAGCCATGAACTCACACCAGAAAAATGATCCGCAATGAAGGCGTATTCGCCGTAAAATTCCAATATGGCCCCCGGTCAATCATCCACTCAGCTCCAATCACAAATCCTCATACCCGCACCGACGATCCCGGTCATCACGTGCTAACTTCCGCCACTGCGATCGTCACTTCGCTGACGCAGACTCGACTAGGCTCGCCCGGTTCCCACAGTCTGTCGTGGCGATCAAGCGCGTAGCCGGCCAGACGACAGTCAGCCCGACAGGACTTTTCGACTCGCACCAAACACCTCACCTAGCCACTGCTTCCCGAAAGCTGGCTTGCGAGTGGAAAACATAAGAGAGATTTGCGGCCGCGTTTGCAGAATTTATAGTTGCGAGAAAGGAGATAGATGGGGGAAGAGTCAGAGGGGAGATCGAGGTGTAAGGAGAGAAGGTTCAGCGAAGGGTGCTCAGGGGAAGCCATGTTGATCTTTCAGAACCCAGTGGTCAGCCAATCAGATTCGTCGCACAATAGGAAGATCCTCTTACTCAACGCGTCTGATTGGTGAGCCGAGGTGATCGAAGGATCAACCGGGCTTCGTGAGTTAAGGTTGAAGAGCAAGAAGAGACGAGGCGCGAAAAGCAGCGCGGGATGGGTCCAAGATTCAGACGATCAAGAAAGGGAAGCAGGCGCGCAAAAAGCAGAGAGGGAAAAACAGTTGCGATAGGAGAAGAAGAGAAAAAAAAAGAGGGGGGGGGGGAGAGAGAGAGAGAAGAGAGCGCGAGGGAAGAAGGACGCGGGAAATAAGGAGGAGGAAGCTCGCATGCGCGGTGCCGACAACAAGAGAAAAAAGGCACCAAAACAGTTACAACTTGCCTATGTCTTATACCAATTCAAAAATTGAAATCTCCATATCCGCGCGCGAAAGTCGACGTGGGAAAAGAAAATCCTATGCCTATCCGTATTCTCACAAAATTCCTAGAGCTTTCTCCGACGTGACCGAGAACATTCATGCAAGGAAAAAGATACGTCGGGCTCCGCTTATTCCGTAATTCCTAACTGTCGAGCCCGATTCCCAGTGTGCTCGCTAAGGCGCGCAAAATTTCCCGTGCATTTCCCGAATTACAAAAAGCAGAATTCCAAGAATCAATAGAACTTCTGAAAAAATGGGGGCCCAAACAAGGCGCCTATAATCAAGAAAAGCGACGAGGGTTCTATGGGGTCGGTATGATACATAAAGGGGGATTGGGTCAAGGGGGGTACGAAAGATAGCACGGGGTCGGGAAATGGTTCGTCACATATGTGACGAGCAGAGGGTTCTAAAATTATGCGATCTCCTGATTGCATGAAAGCTCGAACAAAGGGAATATGAGGGGACGAAGAAGTAGGAAGAAGTACAAGGAACGAAGAAGCAGGTCGATGTAGGAGCTTGGATCAGCATGATGAGCTGGCCTGTGTGTCCGAAAATCGATTCAACGCGGGTTTCGCGTTGAAAAATTGAGCGCGCATTGAATTCGCATTCAATTCCCGTTCAAATGTGCGTTGGACGCGGAATCGTCGCGGATGAACGGGGTCCGCGAACCGCATTTCTGGGCGTTTGGGGGGGGGGTAGGGGTTTTGTGAAAGTGTGGGGTGGTAGTGTCTGTTGTCAGGTACCGCCCCATGCACTTCTTTTTTTTTCTCTTTTTTTTTAAACCAAAAATAAATAAAAAAACACGCGCGAACCCCTCTGCGACCTGCAGGGCGTTCGCGGGGTGCCTGCTGGGGGGTTGCGCAGGGGAAACGGTCCGAACGGGTACAAAAACGGTACTTGCGTTCGATCGCAGTTCATTTGTCGTGCGAGCCATAATGCTCCAACGCGACAAACGGGTTTCCCCTGCGTCGAACGCTGCAGACGAGGGAGGGAGAGAGAGAGGGAGAGATAGATAGATAGATAGATAGATAGATAGA